TTAACCGAGTGGGGTTTGCCTTGCCGCTGCCTATTGAATCTGTGTGCCTAGGAATTAAATGTACCATAAATTCATTGCTGTTCAGGGTTCTGCACACTCATTAGATGTCATCCACACATGCACACACATAATGAAAGAGAGCAAGGTGTAAATGCAAGAAAATGAAGATAAAATCTGTCCCTGAGTGCCAAATGTTGCATTTAGATGATTTTTAAGTGCTTTTTCATTCTCCTTTAAGACATCAAATTATAATAGTGAGGATAACAGAGAAGCAGACTAGAATATCAAAGGAATAAAAGAATTTCTGCTATCAAAGAGGTATACATATCTTATACTCCATATTCCCTTCTTTTGATTGACTTATTCTGTAATACTTAATTTTCTAAGATAAAGTCTGTCAAAAGGCACAATTATGTTTTGCCACTTGAGTCTTCTGTTGAACCTCCAGATGGAAGAAAGGAAGAAGAATAAACCAAATGGGATAAGCTTGATGCCTTTTTCACACAAAGCAAAGCATAGTCCCATGAAAGCTGATGCTTAATTGGTGCAAAATGATAAAACCTCATGAAATGTAAACTTTAAAATCTTGACAGCAAGGAGAATTGACAGTATTGCTGAAGGAGAAAAGAAACAGCTTAACATGTGCCTGGAGGATCTACTGGACAGAGTGGGAACCTGTTCAGTGTCTAGAAGTTTTATGAAGAACATGGGATAGATTTACCAAATTCTCTGGATCTGAGTCATATGTCTTATCATCTGAGGCTTCAGTATGTTAGCACAAAAGACTCCAAGGCATGATCCACAGCATTGTTTCTAATGGACTGCAAGCTTTTTGTGGTCTTCATGCTAGAAATTATGCCCTTCCTGTAACTCCTGTACAGCAGCAATGACCAAATCGGGACCTTGGTGTTTCATGTCCTCCAAGTGGACCTCATGTGACACTCTCCTTTCCCAGATTCCTTGAACTATCTTTTTTGGTCAAAGAAAGAGAAATAATGGCCTCTTCTGGAAGACTCCAGGAACAGTAATTCACCTTTTAAACAGGTTACAGCCTCCCTCTCCATACAATCTTTATTTTTTAAAAAATGCTTCTAAAACCAGAAGTGGACTTGTGGCCACTTCCATGTATTTATCCATTTAATAATAATAATAATAATAATGTTTATTTCTATACTGCCCCTCTGAGGATAATCGGGGCGGTTCACAGTAAAAATACAATACAGTCATGCATTAATATCAATTTCCCACCCACCCCCCTTAAAAAATTATTAAACCACTTAGAATTAAAACCAGACACTTTATTTATTTTACTTTTTTTGCATTTTTGGTTTTTGTGTGGGCAACTGAGGGTTACAGTGCAGCAGATTAGCCCACAAATCCACTAGAGTTCCTTCTCCCTGCAGCACTATAATGAAGAATATGCTGTACTGGCTACATTGGCCATGGATAACTAAGGATTCATAACCCAACTGAGGAACTAACCAGTTAAGAAAGCACATTTTATCATCTAGGATCACTGGATTCTTTCAATTCCAGGAAACACTCTATTTTCAATTCCATTTCTCTGGCCTTAAGCTGTGAGGCTGCCAAGTGAAATAAGGAAGATGGATTCTTTACCTTGAATGGTTGTGAAGAAGAGGAAATCTCCTTTTAGGGGTGGCAAAAGGCTTCCCTAAGAGCCAGTGCCATGGCTCTTCAGTGCCCTTTCGGTGCAGCATGTTTAAACACTGCACTGGGAGGGTGTCCTGATGTCACATGCCTTGCATAACTGTGCATTGTCAGGATGATGTCGATGTGGGGTTGGGATGGCTGGCATGCAGTCCCCAGACCGGCCCTTTGGGCTGGTCTGCAGAGGCCAAAGTTTGGATATCAGTCCTGAAAAACACAAAAATCAAGACCTAGTAAAATGCAAATCAAATCCACCCAGGATTAGGTTTTTTCCCAGCAGACAATGAATCACTAACTAAATAGACACAAATCCTTGCATCCTACCCTGAGGCCTTGACATTCCACAACTGAATACACACATTAACATGTAAATCACTCCTCCCATCCTAGGGTCACACAGTCTCTCTCTCTCTCTCTCTCTCTCTCTCTCTCTCT